CCGAGCTGTAACGCTATCGAATTTTGTCCCTACTAAATAAACAATTAAAACATCCCACGAATTTATTGGCAAATTTAATTGTTCTAAAGCACGAAGATTTTTTGTTAATGTGTCAAGTAATTTTCGAATGCCGTTAGCCGATTCGTTCTTAATTGTGTCCATGTTGAAAATGTTCTTTACATGATTATGTATTAACATTTTGTCATTGTTAAACCTTTCAACCAGTAAATCCCAAGCGATTTTGTAATTGCTTGCAGAAAATTCTAGCGATTTTATCACCTGAGCGGGACGCTCTGTCAATGAAGTCCTTAAATAATGAAAGCGCTGTATATCGTTGATTGCGTCGTTTTTGTGAATGAGTGACTCGAAAATATCACGAAATTCTAACCAATTTTGCAGCGAACCATCGAAAGTTGGCAAATTTATGACAGGAAGTTTGACATTTTGTAAAGGATTAACAACATTTTGTGTTGCGGAAAATTCCCCTGATTCGGTGCTTGATTTAGAAGAAATTGACTTGTTTTCATTAAGAATTTTTTTTGCGATTGACACCTGCGAATAGTAAATAGATTCAAAGTTGTTGCTCTGTATATTCTTTTTCAAAATCTTCGCAGATGCTTTCAATTTCATCTTGAATCTCAAAGAATTTTTGCAATGACACACATTCGATGTTTTCTAAACGAGATTGTAATTCAATTAACTCTAAATCCGTAAACTCGCTTTTTTCTTGCAACGAGGCTAAATATTTTTTAAAATTCGTTAGAGAGCTTTTTACACCGCCCCTCTTTCTTACAAGCGAATCCATTGTTCAAAAACAATTTTCAATAAAAGCGAAGCGGTCAGGAATTGTTTAGTGTGGAACGTGCAAAAGCGGGACTCACTTTGATGATTTGATCTGACCTTTTTTTTGTCGTGTCGGCACCGTCTACGCCTCTTTCTGTCGCCTGGATCGCCGCTCGAGCCACTGTTTGTACCTTGCAGGTGTTTTGGGCCGCTGTGATCCACTGCTTCAGTTTTCGTCGTTTTGGTTACTTTTTTGTGATTCGTTGGATTTTTAAAAAAAAAACCATCCGGCTCGAAGGACCATGTTCTTCGTTTGGAGGTTATTGTTCAGCAATTTTCACTAACACAATTTTTCGGTAAAATAAAACGTCGGAAGATGACTAACACTGTGTATTTTGCAAAAGAAACAAATTATCCCGACATTCTTATTAACGCTAAAAGTTCTTTCCGCTTATGTTACGACTGATACCGACCGACTCGCGTCTCTCTCTCCCCGAAGGCACCCTGCGCGGAACTTTATATAAGTTACAGGCATGCGCACTAACTCAAAACTGTAACATTAAGCAAAAATATTTAACAATCACCTTCTTGCTGTTCTTGTATATTGCCCTCCATATTTAATAAAGTGCGCCTATTCTCTTTGCTATACACAAGCACGCCTTCTGCCATGAGTTGCCGCGTACTAAGATGGTTTGGATCGTTATCATCCTCATCCTCTGAGTCGTAGCCGGTATTTTTGCCATCATTTTCGGGGGGGGGGGGGGATTAGTTTTTGATAGCAATCTTGACGCGTAACATAGTATTCTCTTTAACCCACTTTTGTCTTGTTGAATTAGATAAGCTGCTATTCCTAAAGATGAAGCATCTGCTGAAATTATATTTTTTTTACCTGGATCAAAATATTCGAGACAGGGGCTTTGTTGCAATAATTCTTTATTTTTTTTCAAAACTTTGTTTTTGTGACAATCCCCATGAAAAGTTTACATTTTTCTTCAATAGAGAAGTTAATGGTTCTAAAACGTGAGAACGATTTGGTATAAAAGGACTTGAAGAATTAATCATCCCTAAGAATTTAAAAATTCATTTTTATCAGTAAGATCTGGAAAATTCATTATAGATTGTATTCTTTCGGGGTCTACAGATATACCCGAACTAGATATCGAATGCCCTAAGAATTGGAGAGCTTTTACGCCAAAAATATATTTTGGTTTATTTAATGTGATACCTTCTGCCTGAATACGTTTCAAAACTTCAAAAAGAATTTCGTTATGTTTTTCTAGTGTAGGTGCCTGGACTAATACGTCGTCTATATGAAAAATAACACCACCAAACCCTTTTAAAAGGTCATTTAAAAGCATAGAAAAATATTCTGGAGCACATGTAATGCCAAAGGGTAATCGTTTAAGTATCAAGCGACCAAAAGGAGTTATGAAACAAGTTAAATGTTGACACTGTTTAGTTAATTTTATTTGATAGAATCCGGACGTTGTATGTAATCGACTAAAGTAATTTGAGCCTTGAACTTGAGCAAGAATTCTTTCTACTTTTCCGATAGGAAAATGAGGACGGAGAATTGCTTTCTTTAGCTTCGTATAATCTTACTTACTTACTTACCCACTTACTTACTGGACTTACCCACGAAGTGTGATAATCTACCGGTTCGATTATGTCGAGTTTTTGTAAACGATGGAGTTCCTCTTTTAAAGGTTTTAGTAACGGTATTTGAACGACTCTCGGTACCGACTGAATCAAAGGTTGAATGTCACTTTTTATTTTTATGTCCAATTCCGTCTTAAAAGTTCCAATACTCTGAAATAATTGTGGAAAGTTTTTTCTATTTCAGTTAAATTAATGTTTTTTAAATTAATATTTAACGTGTTTATTTTTGACTCGATACCATCACAAAATTGTAGAATTTTTAATTCTAATATGGCACTCCTGCTTAATATTGGTTTGCACAAATGATCTATAACATAAATGTCAGTATAATGTAATTTGTTTGAAAAACATAAAGTGGCTTGAAATACACCCAATACTTTTTGATTTTCGCCCGATGGACCCGTTACCAATTTATTAGACTTGGAAAGAGACCATATTACATTATTACTTAAAATATTAGCTGGAATTCAGGTTATATCTGCACCCGAATCTATCATAAAATGTTTATTGAGTTCTAATATTTTTATACATATATTCCACTGAATTCTCGAATTTATTTTGTTATTAATGGATTCTATAAAGCTTTCTGGAAATTTATCAGTACAAGTTAAACAAATTTTGTTATTAGTTTCATTACTATTGTTAGTATTTTCACTTCAATTTTCAAATTGAATTGATTTGACCTTAGTACCGCGACAGACTTCTGCCCAATGTCCTTGCTTCCTATAAGATCGGCATGTTGATTTGTTGGCAGGCCACTGTTCCCTTGGATGGATGAATAATCCGCAAAATGTGCATTTTTTCTTCGCGATGTCTTCTTTATTTCCGGAACGAGACGGTTGATTTGGCAACGCCGCCTAATGGGCCGTCGCCACTTCGCGAGAAGTTGGTTTTTTGTTGCTGCTGAAGAGCTTGTTGTTTTTGAAACCCTGTGACATCTATCACCGCGTTTCCGCTATTGCCGATGCGATGCGGCATTGAACTTTGAAGTTCTCTTGGCTTGGTTTGACTGACTTGCAGTTCCGCTTGTTTGGCTTCCAAGGCGCACTGGGTTAGGGTTAATTGCGGTTTTAATTGTAATCTTTCACTGGTTTTTCGATTTAGGATACCTACTACGATCCTGACCCTTATCAATTCTTCGGTTAAAGCACCGAATTGGCAATGTTCGGCCAGAGAATGCAAGTTTGTAATGAAGTTTTCAATTGGCTGGCCAGGTAGTTGCGATCTGCTGTTGAATTTAAATCGTTCGAAAATAATGTTTCGGCGAGGTATGAAGTGGTTTTCGAATGCGGTTAACGCTAATTCGTAGGTTATTGGTGCGTTCCTGAACGGCAGCCATACCTCTTCCGCTTCGTCCCCAAGAAGGTACATTAGAATGTTTATTCGTTCTTCGTCGGATTTTTGATTCTGTCCGCTTACAGCCATAAAACGCTCAAAACGTTTTCGCCACTGTGGCCATGCTGCTGGATTCGAAAAGTCGAATTTACTCGGCGAAGTGACCGGTACAGACAGGATCTAAGCCACTTCACTTGTGGTTGCACTTTCCGAGATCGGTGTCGACATTACTATTTTCACTAATAACGTTCACTTTTTTACTGCTTTTTTCCTAGCATCGCTGCCACCATGTTCTGTTGACGGGGGTTCCTGCGACAGTTGAATGAATACGTTAGTTCAGAAACTAAAGATTTATTCCATAACGACTTCAAATGATTACAATGCCGGTTATCGTGCGTTGCTTGAGGACAGGGCACTCGCGCATCGATATATGCTAAGTGCTAAGGATAGACTAAATCCTAGAAGTTTCTACGGCAGGAACGTTAACATGCTACGTTGCCATGTCTAACAGAACAGATTTCTTCTTCTATTCTTTTAATATCAAATTCAGCAATATTTGCGGAATTTTCATCTAAAAATGAGGGAGGTTCTACTCATTCCTACAAGAAATATCAAAATTTGTCTACCTGTGATATTCTGCAATAAATCACTTTCAATAACGCGTTCACCTTTTTCATCAGTTACTAGATAATAATTATCTGAGGCAATTGCCATTTTTCCTCCCACATTCGATAATTTATGAACGAAATATATATTACAATTTGGCACGAAAAATAAGTATATAACACAGCTGCGATTGATGCTCAAGAGTCGACCAAAATCACTCGCGCATCGGATCGTTCAGCCGGTATTGCCGAGACATCACTAAACAGTTCTACACGGCTGAACAAGTCCCATAAGTTACAATTCGTTCCGAACGAAAAATCCTGGCACCGATTCCAGAATCCGTTGAATACGTTCGTATAAGTTCCGAGAACATAGAATTATTAATCTAGAGAATGCGCTCGGGATTCTCTCTGCGAAAGTAGCTATTATCAAATAATTACTTTATTACATTTTAAAATAAAATGTCTACTTACTGAAAAAGGTTCATATACTTTCAGAGTTTCTTTATCTAATTATCTTCAATAATTATCTTCCCAGTAAGGTTATTTCGACGTTAGGAGAAATAAAAGAATATGGGGATTTTTTAACTCATAATTATTTACAAATTATATTTGTCAGTTTATTTACAAATTGTTATATAATTACTGCAGATTTCATTTGTCATATTATCAAATATGTAATTATTAATTTATTAAATCTCATGGTTTGCAATAAATAGTCTCGCAATTACAAGCTTTTGTAAAAATATGCACAATATCATTACTATACCTCTAAACAGTATTTTTGTTACATCCACAAACAAACCGATCCATCGGATTTACGTAATTTGTACAAATGTGTATTCAACAATATAGGTTACAAAAAAATTTGATAATGAACAAGATCAATGCTTTTTAAAAATGCCGCTATGGTGAACAAAATCTCGGAGTCCGCCATATCATAAAATAACAACTACCTACTCTGTAAGTCCAAAAACGATAACTGCGCTATTTCATGCTTCGGGATTTTATAGATCTTTATGTATGGTTGCTCCTTGAGGATGAGATCTAGATGAAGCTTACTCCAGGGAACGTACTTTATGCTATGTCGGGTAATCAAGACGTTTTTAACGAGAACGTCAACAACGCAGAGTAATGGTAATCATAGTGGGAGTTTGGAATCTGGTACTAACAAAATTGTCTGATTTTATGACGGAGAGAATTTGGTATCAGCGTATCTAGGGCGAGTGTGCTAAAACTTTCTTTGGCAAAAAAATGTTTTATCGGTTTTCTATCGCGAAGTAATATTAACTGTACTAATTTAAATTTACTAGATAACTGTTGTTGTGGATTATGTTGGGGCCCAGCTGCCGAAGAATCTCGAGGGCAATACCTAACGGCACCGACATAAAATGAGACATAAGTCAAGTTTTTTTCTAAAAAAATTCTAAATGTATAGAACAATTACTTAATTAAACTTCCGGTCCAGATCAACTTATTTTTTAATTCCATGTTGTAAGTTAATTTTTAATAGATATATGCACCTCCTTTGGTTTTCCAAGTTGATCTCGAAAAAAAAGTCGTGATAATTTTTGATATCCTATAATTCTCATACGTTTCAAGATTTTATATTTATATATGTACCATGCGTTCAATTTATCTTGAGAACATTTTAATCGGCTGCAACTTTTTTGTTTTTGGAGATATCAGTTTAAACAAAAAAACAAAATATAGGGTTAGTAGCTAGCCAAGTTTTTCCCAAGTAACATTTAAGACAAAACTATCAATTTTTTGACATCATATTTTGTTTAAATAGAACACCCTGTATATTATAGATATGTTTAATAGAATATCTTATTCCGATTACAATAATGTAACACTTTATATTTTAGTCCACTCGCTTTTGACAAATCGGCAAAAATAGGATTTTTTTTATAATTTCAAAAGTGCCCTGATTGACAAATAAAAAGATGTTTATGTTTGATATATTAGTAAACAACGTTGATGGTTGAATTATTGTCCAAGTCACTATTGTTAAAATGGCGAATTTAGCATCGCTGGAAGGAGTGATATGCTTCAAGTATACTTTCAGAATAATAAAAGTGCAACCCCCGCTCGTCGTCAGTATATTACACTTTATTCAGAGCCCCGAACTCCTTCAAAACAGATATTTCCAAGGCTGGCAAAGAAATTTGCAGAAAACGGTAATGTATTAAATGCTTAAAAGGTATGCCGGAATCAAAATATTTTAAATGAAGAAAATAAGGTAAACATATTAGGATTCTATGAAGCACATCCAGTTTGCTCTATTACTAGAGTATATAAAGAGAGAGGGGGGATCAATTCACTCAGTTTTGAAAGAATATAAATATAATGCATTTATAGTTTATAAAACTCAAAAACTAAGTGTAGAACAATGTCAAAGGAGGATGCAGTTTTGTTTGGATTTTTTAAATAGACATAAGGTGAATAATATTTTTTTTAAAAACATTTTATGGACTGATGAAAGTTCGTTCACTACAAGAAAAGGTTGTAATATACAAAATACGCAATATTGGCCTTTAAATAATCCTAGACAAATACACGAAATCAAAACCCAGGGGTTTATAGTGTGGTGGATATGGGCATAACTTTAATGTATTTTTTCTTTTGGGGACACATAAAGAATCACGTGCACAGAACTACTTGTAATAATGTCGTGGAACTTCGGCAAAGGTTTTCAGAGGCAATCAATCTAAGGGACAATCCGGAAACGTTACTAAATGCAAGACATCATACAATTAGAATGTATGAGAAATGTGTTCAGGAAAATGGTGGTTACATACAGCAGTATTTAAAATAGTTAAAGAATTTTTTACTTTAGTGTGTCTTTTCATTTTTAGTGTTTTTGTTCTACTTTAATTTGTAAATAATTATTGTTGTTGCAGTCAGTCACGGCACTCATTGAAATTATATAAAAATTCCAATTTTTTCCGATTTATCAAAAGCCAGTAGACTAAAATATATGTTTTGTTACATCATTGTGATCGGAATAAGATATTCTATTAAAAAGATATATAATATGCGGGATGTTCCATTTAAAAAAATACGATGTAGGCTTATATGCCAGAAAGTTGATAGTGTTTTGTTTAATACGTCACTGGAAAAAACTTGGTTACTAATCCTACATTTTGTTTTTTGTTTACATTGATATTTCTAAAAACGAAAAGTTACAGCCAATTAAAACGTTATCAAGATAAATTGAACGCACGGTACGTGGCATATAGTGAATGTCTGAAAAAAATTCTCTGTCTCACTCTGTTGTAGCTTTAAAATTTTGGTTAAAAAAAATCGCGTTTACACAATTGAAACTTATTCTCGCGATTTTCAGCAATGTGAATTTGTTCAACTGCCGCGGAAATTCAAAACAAAATCAAAGAAATATGCGTTATTATTATATTGACTATAATAGTTTTGGTTAGTTCTGCTTAGCGATGTTTTAAAAAAGAATCAAAATGAAGTTATAGGAGAAACAGACCTCTAAAACTTTAATTTTATTAAAATAATCGACCAGTTGAACACAACTCTAAATTGTAGAAAGATTTTTTTTTTATTAATTATTATAGATAGGATGGATAAGACTATCAACTCAACTTCAAGTTTCATTTTTTATGTTGCTATAACTGAAAAAATAATAGAATGTGTTCTCCTTTTAAGAAACAAATTCGAAAACACTGCGAAACAATATTGGTTTGGTTTAGGCGACATAATAGGCTTGCCCTCGGACGCCTTCGCCGCCGTGCGGATGAAATTTACAAAACATGAGTACATAAATCAAGGGCGCTAGTTTAAAATTAACAACAGGCTACGCTGCAATTTACAGATAATAATCTCAAGAAACAGTATTTAAGTATCAACAACAAACTGAACGCATATTTCTAAACTTCAACAAATAATCGAAAAACATTCAAACATAGCGGACGATAAAAATGCACTAAAATGTAAAAACGTTTCGTCGAATATAACTTTTTACAATAATTTGTTTATAATGTTCTAACGATATCACGTATCTCTCTGCTATATTTCTAAAAACCAGCTCCAAGATTCAATCCCAATGCTGCGTTTTGTTGTGACATTAAACTCCAACACGCTCTCCATAGTGCGACGCGTGGCTCCAAAGCATCCAACCACATGGATCTTTCGTATTCACAGTACGACATCGGACTCGAACTGTCTCTAACCGATCGATTTAATCTCCGGTAGTTGAGGAGGCGACCTAAGAACAAGGGCTCGATATTGAGCCCCTTATTAGGTGTGCGCTAGCCGTGTTAGGGGCTAGCAGGCAAGCTGTCGTCGCTTGCATCTAGGTACGTCACGTAGCCGTCTGTACTGTCGGGATGACTCATATCAGATGGTGGAGGAGGTCCGCCAGGTCCTATTAAAGATCCTGGATGCCCAGGACCTGCACCGCCTGGCGGTGGTCCGCCTAACGACGGTGGAGGTAAGTCGTAACCGTGCATCTAAAACAATAATCGACACTTATTTAACTGCTAGCTGACCGGTTTAGTTCTAATAGGAGTTGGTATAGTATATTAACTAAGGCATTACCCTTGCCTTGATGTGTATACCAGGAATCGGTTACAAAAACTTCAGGATGGCTATTGTAGGTTTATTTTTAGGCTTAGAACAACTGACAGAGAGTCCCAAAAAATAAATTTCATTGCTTGACTTTGAATTGAAAACATTTATAAGTATCTTCTTGCGGTTATTGTCAGTAAATCATTTCTTCTACTTCACAATAGTATCTTAGCTTAGATTCCCCGTTATTTGCTTTGTTTGGCAGTGGATTTATATAATGCAATAGTCATGTATAATAATGTAAACAGTATAATAATATATGATAATGTATAAACATGTATAATAATGTAAACACATTTCGTCGAGAGCTCAAACGTTCTTTGCTTGCGGCTCAGTTATCCGCAGTGCGCTAGTAGGCTTCTTCTTCTAATTAAAATTAATAAAATTCTAACCCTAATCTTGATATTGTTAACCTCGCTTGGAATTTATTTTTTCTCGTAATTTTTATATATAGTAAGATAAGTCGTGTCGGTTAAGTATGAGTATTCGTAGACCATATATTGTAAACTTTGCAATAAATACTTTAAATAAATAAACAATAATAAAACAAATAAGTATTTTGTTAATTTTTCAAAGAAACTTCCATAGGCTACTGTGATACTTTTTACAAAACTTCTGGATTCCTCTTGCGTCGATTTTTGCTGAGTTGAACTTGCTGACTTTTCGCCAATCATCCTGTTGGCTTCTTCAGCGCTTGACTGAAACTGGCTCGTATTTTACTCTATACCTGTTTATATATTGTTTGAGGAGGCGGAGCTAAATGAAGGGCATAAACACCGTCTCGGATCACTGATTCCCAAATTGGTGACAGGAAGAGACCTATTATATTATATTTTAGTTTTATCGAATAAATTTTATTAAAATTCTTGCATGTAATCAGTTCTTCTCCCAATGAAAAATCTGAGAGTCTAAAGAAATCTATAAACAACCTAACAATCTTAACCGCGACTCAGGTCTCTACCTGTCACCAATCCGAGACGGTGTTTATGCCACTCATCTAGCTCCGCCCCCCTCACACAATATATAAGCAGGTACAGAGTAAAATATGAGCCAGTTTCAGTCAAGCTCTGAAGAAGCCAACAGGATGATTAGCGAAACGTCAGCAAGTTCGACTCAGCAAAAACCGACGCAGGAGGAATCTCGAAGTTTTGTAAAGTCTTTTGTTACTTTAAGTTAAGTCTGATTCGCTCCTCAATTCCATTAATAACCTCAAGAGTTAATTAGATTTTCTTTTTTTTTGTGTTTGGGTACACATCCATAATAAATTAACGCACCACCGAAAAGTTCAAAGCAGTTTTTCTAAGCTAATTAGGCTCCAGAATAGTTGATAAAATATAGGGTTCTCATTTTGAAAAAAATAAAATTATATTATTTTTGTGTCCACCGGTATATTCGCATACTCTAAGAGCTCCTGTGTACTACAAAGTACATTGCATGATTCCTTCTCCACCATAGCCACAATTTCAGTTCTTTAAAACATGCTTTTAATAAAGATTTAATTGAAGTTATGACTAATTAATATTTTTAAATCCGCTAAAGATAGGTATTATTCAAAACACATCATAAATTGATGGCGGAATCGAAAATCCAAAATACAAGGTACATCTCATTTAAAATATCAAAGTTGATGCTACTTTTTCGAAGAAACGGCACTGGGTGCATTAATGTCACATATCAAAAAGTAACTATTTTTACTTAATTGCATCATAAATCTCGCACGTTTGTGTTTTAACAACGAACAATACCGGCACATGTTATCTTACTTCAGTTCCGCTAGAGAGAGTTGGTGCCACTATTGAATTTCCCGCGTTTTTAACCGGCTTACGCACAAAATCGGAACATGACCCAGTGTGTGTGTGATCACCGCAGAGTACTTAATGTTGGTAAAAAGCGCGAAGATACTTACAAAGTCGTAGAAATATTTTTGATTTAAAAAAACTAGTAACACAAACGTTTTTTAACATTCATTGGGACAGTTCGGGCGATAGTGTCAAACTAAATGCCGCTTGTGTTTTCAAATTAGAAAAAGATGCTGTTGGCACATTTTTTAGTAAAACTGATTACAAAAGCATAAGCATTAGGCAAAGAAAAATGCGAGCAAGCGCCACTTTTACATGTTTTAGAAATGTGAAAACTAGTACTGAAAGGTGGCAAAGACTGAAATGTCATCGTTTTTTAGTTGCTTTGAAAATAGTACTTTTTGTTTATTTTCCAAAAACCAGTTCAGTTGGTTGCTTTTACTGTAGAATAGCTTAGCTTTTGTTTACGTGCCATTATAATTCTTGTTTCTTATAATTTTAACAACAGTAGCTCTCTACCAAAAACTATGGGTCCGTTGTTTTGTTTTTAATTACATATTAAAAGACTACTAATCTGTTTTTTTAGTTACTACTATGTAACTATCTCCTATTATATATAATAAAATGATGTTAAAACTTTGTTCTATTGTTTTATTGAGAATTTTTTAATTAAAATATTGCACTTCATTTGCGAAATTGATGAAAAAATATTTTTTATGTTAACATATGACATATCACTATACATTTTTTAATAAGTAAGAACGTTGATACGAGTTATCTCAATGTTCCAGTTTTTATTTTCCTAAATTACTGATTTTCTCGGAACCATTATTTGTGAGGATGTGAGATCGCGCATACAAAACTACCAAATTTTCAGAACGGTCCCCCGTCCCATTCACCATAACGTCTACGTGCATACATTGTAAATCACCCAATATACAAGTGTGCTGTGCAGATCAAAAAATGTTGCGATTGCACTAGTAATTTCCAAACTGGGGAAACCGATAAATTTCTGATTTCAAATTTCTCAACCTCTAGGTAAGACTTTGCAGCGTTCAACTATTGACACGGCCCGGATCCCATTGAATTTTCACGCAAAAACAAAAGTGTCTGGAGATCGCTGTTTAAAAGACAATGGCGCAAAGTGCATCAATTTTACGGTATTTACCGGACATTTTATCTAATTATATAAATTATAATATTACCTGATTAACAAGTTGCTGAAACGCAGGTTGGTGAGGTTGCTCGAGATCCGAATGCAATGCAAAATCACTAAGGGCTTTCCACGGAGGCTGGTACGCTTGTACTTCTAAGGGATGAACCCCAAGTGGTGAGTCGTGCCGGACTGGCGACGATGCGACCATCGGAATACCTTGCATTGCACCATACCCAAGCTTGCGGCCATCCTGCGAAGCATAAAACTAAGCCAATTTAGATATTGTGTTCTTTTTATTAGAAGAGTGTATTAGAACAGTTTGATTAATTTGTAGCACGGCAAAGGAGCGTTACCAGCTTTCTACCAAACCAAAATTTATCAAACATGATAATGTAAACTAAATCCGGGCAAATTTATTAGTTCATAATATGAGATTGAATAATGGAAATACAAAAATCAAATAAAAAATCTGTGGTTGATGCGAATATTGCGAATAACAGTATATTATCGAACAACTTTAATAAACTGCATTTTAGGTACGAGTTTCAATATGAACGAGCGGAGCGAGTGTTTAATAAACGAGTGACCGAACAAGTTTATCGACGTGTTATATATTATCCTGTTTCTATAACTATTAGATCAAACTATCATGCCTAAAATCTGCCGAAAACATCCGATCGCACCCAAACTCACGACTAAAATATCTGAAACGTCATAAATGATTCGCGATCATTTCGTTTTAAAGTGACACTTTCCGCACGCTTAAGTCGTATATATAATTGTAATTGGATATTTTGAGTAAGAAGTAGAAAATATATTAAAAAATTAATTGTTTTTTTTTTCAAAAGATCTACTACATATTATAACCAACGGAGTAAGGAAGTAATTTCATGATAAATCAGCAACTTTTAGGATGTAATTGTTATAATTACAATTATTAAACAATAAACAAAGGATAATTTACATGTTTAAGAATAAAAAAAATGAAATACTAATTCAAATGTTGTCAGATGGAATATGTTACAATATTTAAAGTGATAGGTATGGTTTGTTTCTTAATGATTGTCAAGCGTCCTGAGACTGGCAGTTGGACGGAGTTGATCTAACTGTACCGTAGTGTTTAATATTAGAATTATAGTTATAATTCCCGGCAGTGTTTGGTAAAGTTTGTTTTTGATAATGGCTAGTGTTTTTGTATTTTCTGTGTGTGTTACTGCGTTTTTTAAAAATCAAAAAAATATTTTTTCTCAATGTGTTCAAACCTCGTTGTTACCAAAACTCAAAATTCGGAGTTGCAAGAATACTGACTTAACCCGTGCGCGAGGATAAATGCGGCTTCCTCAGGTCGGCAAAGTAAAATACAGGAAGAAAATGAAGAATCAGGGTTTCGTTTCACCCATGGGTAAGAAAAAAATATGGAAAAAAAAAACTGAGATACGGAAAACAATAATAGTAAAATAAAGTGTAGAAACACTAAATATTGGAGCTGCATGTAACATCTTGAGAAACTAGTGCTAAAAGTCTAAGACTAAGCTAGGATGCCTAAATTATTATATGCAGCATAAATGGAACAATAATAAGATCGCTATGGTATATAGGCAATATGTTAAGAATTTTTAAGGATTTTGCCATGCCCAAATTTGTTCTTCACGGAATACATGATCATTTCAATAACACCGTAAATATTAGAAAATTGAAGATGCAACTAAACTGGATAAGACACTTGGAATAAAAAATATGATACAATATTATCGGATTTACATCCCTGCTCATCTGCAGCTCTGCTTGTTTATGAATTTACTAAGAATTAATAAAATTACAACACACTGATAAAATTGTAATGAATTTGTAAAATATGTGTAAATAGATACCTATTGAGAATGTTGGAGAAAATAGCATTAATTTCATAATTAAGTAGAGATTATTGTTGTGCTTATTGGTTGGCGGTATTAACAAAATTAAGTAGTTGTTTTATCAACCTGTGCATATAGAATATCTAGTATTTTGCTACGTTTTCCCGTAAGAAGCAACTACTTCGATTTCAGAAATGGTAAGTACATATCATTAAATAAAGTCAGTCCCAAGAACTAGAAAAAAAGACGTTCCTTACACTTGTTAACATTTTCTTGGAATCGTATCTGCTCATCTCCGCTGTCTTATAGAAAACATGAGCATGGGATATCTGGTTCGCCCCTCCCGCGTCATGCAACTCCGAGAACGAGTCAAATAAACAAGAGACACAATCGATGTTGGCCGACAACACAGCTGATTGGCTCACAAGGGACCGAAGGGGCAGGCATGAGCATCTGACGGCACGCCTCTGGAGATTTATGGAAACGGCGCGCAGAGGTAGGGATAAACGGTACGCATAGAGGGGAGAGAACGTTGCGTAAGTAAAATGTGGATTTTTACCTGAAACTCCAGGGGAAGAGCTCCAACGCTGCTGTCTGATCAATAAGCAGTAGCGGTTATAATTAGACTGAAAATGGTTAAAAGGGTGGAGAAAATGTGGTGAGGTGGATTAAAAATCGTCCCTTAGCTTGGCAAATTATTGTCGCAATAGCGAATATGTGAAATAATGTAATTGTAACAAAGTTTAACTAAAATTAATTTAATACAAAATAAATTTGTCCCGTTTAACAAATTTGTGAACGGTAACACGAGTGTAAAAATGTATGCTCTACATGAATTTCAGATAATGTTTTTTTTTACATAAACTTTTTTGTGCTTTAATTTTAATTTAATAACCTAAATATTGGCTGAGAATCATTAACGTTTTTGCTTTGATTTTCAACGTTGTTTCTTGTCGGGTAGAGTAGATATTGTACGAAGCAATATTTGAATTTTAAAGAATACGGCAAGATGTATAAATATTATCAAAACACTACATAGAAGATTTCTACGAATAAAAAGGAAAACCTCTGTATTAACTTGAGTTAGCAACAAGAGTAGCGGTTCCGGTGAATATTCTCTAAATAGATTAGCAAACTATACTTACCTAACCTACAAGTTAAGTTTCTTTTAATTGCTTATTGGGGGATTTTATAAATTATTTGTAGTTAGTATCTAGAATGTGTTTATATTTTTCCGAAACAAATAAGTTTATTATAAAAATCCAGGACCGAATTTCAAAAATCGAAGTTAATGTCTGTTCATAGATATAAGAAAGTGACTAACTGATACGAATTAAGCAGAGACCCGGGCAAGCTGTTAGAATGAAATATGGTCGAACAGCTCCGTACTTTGCTTAAAATTTAATTATTTGGGGTTTTGTTAGGAAAGATACTAAACAACAATTATTTATTTATGTATGTATTTATGTTTAAATCTAAAATAAAATTACAAATTATTTTTACTACCTACTTAAATTACTTAAAATTATTCACATAATATATGAGTATAACTATCGCTATGATCACCTATTCTAATTATTATTTGTTCTATATTATTTGCAATATGGATATACGATTGTTTCGCTTTTTCTATATCTTTAACAGAATTTGCCCAACTTTGTGGAGGGATGTTAAAAACTTCGGTTTCTATAAGTTTGAGGACACTGGAGTTAACACGGGGAAAACAATGTTACGACGAGTGGCAGATTTCAGTTGGTGCCAAACATGTTAAATGGGATTAAATATACAGTGGTAACGTGGAAGCCTTAAAACTGTATGCCCTAATTTTTTTGCATAATTACCACAGACGCATTCCTTTTGTAGGTTCAAGCTTTGTAGAACCTCAATTAATTGCTTTTTTGTATAATCTTCGTGAAAATAAATGTCGTTATTATACATGTAGTTTTGGATTTTTGCTTTTGTGTCACATGTCACTGTCTACTGTGATAACTTGCATTGTACATTACAATTACGCTATTAGGAGGAATGTTTGGAACTAGTTTGTTTTTAAATCAACTTTCAAATAAAGCAGCGGTGATGGTGATCCAGAGACGAATTTTTAATATTTTTCGCAGACAGAGAAAGTCCGTCCATTTGGAATCCAAAAATTTTTAGAGCCAGCATGCAAAATAGTTATTCTTTTACTTCTTTTTGATTGCGCGTTTGTTTTATACCTATAACTTGAGTCAACCCAACCCTTTTCGTCGAACCAGGTTTCATCCAAGTAAATAATTGGCCTTTGTTGTTCTCTGTAAATACTATTTTTTTCTAGATATTCCCGTCGCCATTTCTGAATTCTAAAAGATTCCATTAAAACTTGCCTTTTGTCAATTTTTTTAAATCTAAAATCCATGTGTTGAATATATTTCCATAATTTAGTTCAGCCACATTTAACACCGGTTTCATATTTTTCAAGCCTTCTAATTAAGATATCTAATGTAAGCACGCTTTGTTCCTCGTATAACTGGTAAATTTTACGCCGTATTATTGATCACTTTCATCTACATTCGAGAAAATGTTAGCACGCTTCTTTTTTTCCTCGCTGAAATAGGATTATTCGCAATTTTCCATACAGTTGATGTTGGAATTTTCGTCAATGTGGCCATTTCTTCTAAAGATGCGTGCTTGCTGGCACCACGTTCAATGAGAGTCAAATAAACATTGTTTATAACTTCCTTAGTCTCAATAAAAGTGTTTTCTACATTTGGGCGGGAGCATTTCCTGAGATACAGTAGACTCGCACATATTTTACATAATTCGCACACTATTCAACACACGCTGTACTACACACGAAATAAGAATGATTAATAAAAAACTTAAACTAAGTTGTATATCAAACCAAAGAATATTAAACACAGGTAAGTGTAAAACTATTTCTATTACGGACCACAATTTTACCTGAATTTAAATTCCGGAACTTTAGGTAATAATCTTGTTGCATTGTATATTAATGACCACCCTTGGATAATCCCATTCAAAAGCAATTGGTCACTTTCTTATATCTATGAACAGACTTTACCTATTGATACTTTATTGGAAACGAAACGCTGTAGAACGTTGTAGAACGGAAAAAATAATAAAACTTATAATCTCATTTGTTTTTAAACATACAATCGTATTTGTTTTTTGCTAAAATCAACCGATTTTTAGGTACTTGTAACAACGTAAAGTTTTTTATAAATCGCGTTGTAGATTTTAACAGTCATTGTAACTTTAACCGTTGCAGATATACCAATATTGTCCCTATGAATTGGTCGGGGCCTGGTATAGCTGAGATAGGTTTTTGAGTATTAAGAAAAATAATAATTGTAAGTGTTTTTCGAAATTCCACTGGAAATCAAAACATAGGAAACTAGATATGGCCTTTTTTATACGAAGGATACAACCAAAGAGTAAAAGTTGTAAATATATACTAACCTTTTCTTGTTGCATTTGTTGTTTCATCAAGATTGTCTTCTTTTTATCCTTGCATCGCTTGTTTTGGAACCAAACTCGTATCACCCGCGGACTCAATCCAGTCATTTCGACCAATTGTTCTTTCATCAGCGCATCAGGTCTTGGATTAGCAGCGTAGCAGGTCCTTAGGGTGTGCAGTTGTTTCTCATTGAGTACTGTACGAACTCGAGTCGGTTTGCCGTCTCCGCCACCGCCGACGCCACTTGTGCTACTTTTCCTGATACCGCCGCCCTTGTGGGAACCGCTTTCCGAACCCGAATCTACAAACCAAAAAGGAAAATTTCTGGGGAGTTATTAATGGCTGTTATAAGGGGTGTTTTTTTTCGATGTATAGAACTTTAAGTTGCAATAAAACAACGATTCGATTGATATGAATTTTATTTATCCGAAAGATAATCTTGTGGCATTACATTTTACATCTGAACATCTGTACATCTGTGGCTGTATTTCGGCAATAACACGGCGAATGTTGTCTTCCAAATGGTCAATGGTGGCTTATCCGCATAGACCAATGACTTTACATAGCCCCACAGAAAGTAGTCTAGCGGAGTTAAATCACAAGATATTGGAGGCCAATTCACAGGTCCAAAACGTGAAATTAGGCGGTTATCAAACGTGTCTTTCAATAAATCGATTGTGGCACGAGCTGTGTGACATGTTGCGCCGTCTTGTTGAAACCACATCTCCTGGCCATCATGGTTATTCAATTCAGGAATGAAAGAGTTAGTAATCATAGCTCTATACCGATCACCATTGACTGTAACGTTCTGGCCATCATCGTTTTTGAAGAAGTACGGACCAATGATTCCACCAGCCCATAAAGCGCACCAAACAGTCAGTTTTTCTGGATGTGACGGTGTTTCGACATACACTTGAGGATTAGCTTCGCTCCAAATGCGGCAGTTTTGTTTGTTGACGTAGCCATTCAACCAGAAGTGCGCTTCATCGCTAAACAAAATTGGCTTATGAAAATCGGGAACAACGGCAATCTCGTTTTGGACCCATTCGACGAATCTACGCCTTACTTGATGAATTCATGATGAATTGCCAAACCAAACTGAGAATAAATCACTTGACAGCTGTTAAATCGGTGGCCATCTTGAACAGTAATGCCAACTTAAAGTTCTATACATCGAAAAAAAAACACCCATTAAAAGCAGGTTATTAAGTAGAGAAATCATTTTCTAAAAATGTATTATATTCGGTATTATATTTCGATCTAGTGAAGAAAAAATTGTGTCAACGGTTTGCCATGTTTTTTACGCCCTCACTACAGGATAATTGAAAAAAGTGTAAATCTTTATGTTGTCTTGTGTGCCAAAGAATTATTAATTGCATTATAGAAATACCAGTCAAATATGGAGGGTCAAAAATTTTTAAATATTTGAAAACGACGATATTGTTAAAATTTTATTTTTTTATCATTTTTAGTGAGAACACGTATATATGGTTCCCTATACTCGATGTCTTGTTAGAAGTATATATGGAGAATAGAAAAAGATGGTCAGTTAAAAATTGGGTTGCGGTCATATGTTTTCTATTTTTAACACATTGCAGCCTTGACACATCTATGCGGACCAGACACCAATTGTATGTTATTATATCTTTGGATTTGATGAAAAATTCTGAAACTTTCTATGTAAATATGCTGTATATGAGGTATTTTGGTGATAAACGTTATTGTTCGGAATTTTGAGATAAAAATTTGAAATTTCGTGTGCGGCTTGCCAATGGGCTACTGTAAGATATTACGACATAAGATTTAAGGGTGTGCACATTTTGTAAAATATTCAAATGTAAATTAAACGTCCATGTTAAATGGAATCCCTTGTATTTCATTTAGGCAATTAAAAGAAAGGTTTATTCTTAAAACACAACAAACTAGAATACTGCAATTTTAAGTAGTTAAGCATGACCATATAGTTTGACAGTTCAAGTAGATACTACTAATTTGTGTTATTTTGATAGGGCGAATTCATATCAAACAACGATTTGTTTCATTTACTTTATATTCACGGTCAAGTGCAGCTTTGTGCAAATTTGACCCCGATGAAGCAAAAGAAGTTCACAAGAACAGTGACAAGCTTTAAAAACTATAATCTACTATAAAATTTACTCATATTTTCATGCGCCAATAAATAGTGATATAAACAATATTGTCAATAGATGCGTCAATACACTAAAACTTCTTCAACTCAACAACCATCAAGAAGTTCTAAAAAAGCGGTTAAACGATAGATTTTTACTCGTATTTTCATAATTTAATAATTTTTATCTCCAAAAGAAAGATTTACAATTTTTTATAGAATTCAAAAATATAATATAATAATTAAAAAAAAAGGAAGTTGGTGGATGTGTAGTTCAAGTAGGCCTCGTATGACTGCACCCTAATTTTTAAGTGGCCATATCTTTTCATTCATATACTCCAATTTTCTTGTCCTTTCTTTCTTCAGTTGCAGGATTTGCAATGACTTTGCATGTATTGTCTTTGGTGTACCTCGTTAGCAAAACCGACGCAGGAGGAATCCAGAAGTTTTGTAAAAAGTATTACATTAAACTGTGAAAGTTTCTTTGAAAAAAAAAAAGAAATATTGTTTATTGCCTAAAGTTATATGAATCATGAAGTTAAGTGAATCTTTTAAGTTCAACTATTGTTTGGGATTTAATTTTGTTATTTCTAAGAAAGGCAGCAAAGTTTCCAAAATAATAAATTAAATAAATAAATTCAAATAAAATAAAATAAATTTTATTAGTCAAATTAGGGATAATTAAACATTAACAACAACCCTTATTTAATTTAATTGCAATCACGTACCACATAGCACGATTGGTGGCCTCGGAAAATACTTTTTAGCGACTCCGAGCATATTCCTTTTACAGATAGAATAAAGAGTGTTAACCAGGAAATATTTGAATTTATTTTAAAGATTTAAAACATAACAACTCATTCTAACAATCGTTGTTGAAATCTAGGCATTTTTTACTCGGAGTGAAAAGAAGGTCCAGTTTGTAAAAGTTTATCAAAGTATGGAAAAGTCTTAAAAAGTAATTGTAAAAAAAATAATCAGTCAGCTCTTAACAAGAGTATCTTCTGTAAAATCTGTACTTGTCACACCATATGATAAAAACAAGACAAGTTTTACTGATGCAGGTATGTGGTGCGCAAGTTGTGATGTAGCTAGCACAAGGGCAAAAAGGGGCTTATGGGGAATTTCAAAGGAAAAGAGCAAAAAAAAGTTTAAGTTTTTGACTTCAATTATAATTGAGTAAGTTACAAGTTACAGTTCTCGATATATACAGTTACAAAATAATTTTACAGTGGCAATCAGTGGCGGCTCTTGGGGAAATTTTTAAGGTATTCTGCAATTCTTGCAAAAAAAAACTTACCTTAATCAACAACGAAGAATTATTAATTCCCTCAATTACTTGTTCACCACAAACGTCATAAACTGCAACAGACCATTCTGAATTTCTTTGGAAGCGTCCTTAAATATCGAAGAATTTTTTAGGTACTCACTTAGAGTTGTATCTAATTAAGCCGAAAAATTAATAAGTCCACGAAATATTCCGGGATTCTCGGAAGTTTCGCTCTTATTATGTTCCCGGAAAATCAATTAAAAACTCCGTAAAATTTAATACAATTACTAATTTTTGATAAAAATTTTTAGACACATTTTCATTGTGCTTGAATGTGGCTTTTAGAATTGACATGCCTTTTTGTTTTCACTTACTTAAATGCTCTAGATCTGTGACCCCTATTTCCGTCCAAGCTTTATCACTACCAAAAACTAAAATAAGTATAGAGCAATTTTTTTTGCACAAATCCATTCATTTTTTGAGTAAATGTCTACTAAATTTCCCTGTATAACTTTTTCCTCTACTACCAGTTTTTTCAATGGTAATATGTAGTAATGACCTACTTTTATTCGTGTTGATTAATTAATTAAACTAAAGACTACCTCCATAGTTCGCAGTGAATATAAATTGTCGCACACAATGCGAAAGCGAAATATTAGGAATTTAATTTTTGAACAAAGAAGATATTTTAGTTAGACTATTTGATAATGATTTTTTTCTGTAAATTCATAAATTTTTTGGCAGCTCTGCAGTACTACAGCCGCGCCAGGTAAACTTGGTTCTGGGCTGGTTCATAACTCGTTCAAGAATATTTTTGAGGTTTTTACTGTGTTTTTTTTTTTTAGATGCTATAGATTTATTATTTATTGCAGAAAATTCAACTGCCAGATGATTTTTCTACACTTTTTTTTTAAGTTATTGAAATCTTTAAAAGTTGCTTTAGTTAGTCAAAACTTTAGAGAATCGTCATAGCAGAATTGATCGAAAATAAGAGGTTTTCTTTCTTCACTTTCTTTAATATCACTAATAAAACCTATAATTTCACAAACTAAAAGCAACGATAAAAAAATCAGCTAAGGAAATAGCAACTCGGCCGCAACAAACACCATCGCACTGTCCCAGTTTTGTTTACTCTGATGGCTCTCCTATAATCAAAAGAGTCAATGTGAGGTCCCAACGGGATAAACCGGCAAAAGAAAGAGAACTACACACATCCTATAGCTATTGAAGTGTTTAAACGATGGCCGGGTCTTTCTCTAATGTTTGTATTGGCTTTATTTGGTTTAAAACCTCGAAGGACAGGGCATTTTTACCGTTTAAATATTTACTAGGGGCTTAACATCAAAGCTGTGTGAGCCGCTATGGGCCGATGGACTGACGGAAATCAAGCCCAATCGTTTGAAACTAACGAAACTTGGTAAAGACGGTTTCTATTCGGAAGAAGTCTTAACAATTTAGCTATCATATAAGTATACCCATTCGAAACGATAAATGAATCTAAATCATATCTATTTATCATATTATAATATTATATAAATTAATGGATTCTCGCTCTCCCTTACAAAAACTTTATAACATAATATCGCGATTTCTGAAACCTCCTGTACATCACAGAAGACATTATTCTGCATCTATCACCCATCGAAAATATCGGCTTTGTAATTATCCAAAAACAATTAAAATTAACTAGTAATATAGTATTTACAAAACTAGCTAGAAAGTGGTAAAAAAAATAAAAATAGGGGCTGCCGCTACTTTCTGATGCAACAGGCAACATTGCTGTAATAAACAAAACCTTAGCTATACGTGAACAAATTTTCATCAAATTCTTTTTTTCGCTTTCCTAAAACCCTCCATGTTAGTTAAAATTCTCATCTATCAGAATACCTTCAAAATGAGATTA